AAATCTCCTTGATATAAAACATATTTGGGTCTTTAGCGGATGTTTTACTTAATAGACATCAATTCTTTACGATGCCATCCAATTAATATTGATTCACTTAAAAGAAGCTTTAAACGAGGAAATGACCATCAATATATATATATATATATATATATATATATAATGACAGTGATTGCAATAGGTGGAGCGGCCGGGTGTCTTGCAAAGTGGAGGGGCACGAGCAAATGAGGGCACTTTTGGGCCTAAGAAAAAATAAACGTAACAAAAATACAATTTTGAGACATTGGGATATACCCCTAAATATTAATGACTACATTATCAAGGATCATCTGCCACATACAAGGGGACACTTATCATATTTGATATGTTTGAATAGGGGCTCTTATCATAGGTGAAAAGGGGCAATTATCAAAAGAGTAAATACGCACTTATTAGAAAGGGAAAAGGGACACTTTTCTAAAGAAAGAAAGGGCATTTTGGGGTACTTGGAATACAAACGCTGGACCTATACCTAACCTCCTGCCTCTAGTCGCTAGGATCACGAGGAAATAGTGGCCATTTTTAATGTCATACTTTTCAAAAAATGGATGTAAAACAATAGCTAAATTTCTCAGTGAGTCCGTCAGCATAACATGGATACGTCCTCAAAACCACGTCAACCCTTCCGTTACCAAGAAACTTTCAATGTTATACAGACCGCAAAACACAACAACAAGAAAAACAGAAATGCATACAAGTTTTTTGAAACCACTAACCCCCCCCCCCCCCCTAACAAACAAGTTAAAATATTTCATTACAGAAAATTTTCAAGAAAGATAAGAAAAGGTAAAAACGGTAAATTTGAATGAAAGATTAATCAAAACCCGAAACTCCATCATTTCTCCGAGAACAACCATGCATCATCTACGGACTCGTTAAAGTGATAGGCGTATGGTGAAAGCGGGAGAAAAGGTCGACATACCCCAACACTAGACGATGATAGATTGTGGAGAATGATAAGAAATATGCATGCTTCATTCTGGCTAGTTCTGGTGCTCCTTTTCAACATTCACATCTGTGTTTTCAATAGAGTACCGATTTATTGACGTATCATATTCGCTCGTGGTCCCGGATATTGGTTCTAAACAACAGAGCCTGCGCATGAGGTTCACCGTGAAATCATTCAAGCAACGGGCTGGAGCAGGTCGAATTCAGTGTTTGCGGATGGTGTGATCACCACACCATTGTATAACGCAAAATTATTTGGAACCAGCAACCTTGACCACTAGGCCAGTATAAACGTCAGACCACGGTACTCTATACATGCCTTGTTCCGTTTTGATTTTTTTTAAGGTTATCCCTTTTCAACTCACTCTCGCTTTTAGAATATGTCTTATAACAATATAGGCCCTGACTTCTATCTTTTAACCAATTGGATTTAGCAAGTCCACCATTTCATTTTGATTTATTTTCTTAAATAATTTGATTCATGGTAATATATTGCTGGGGGGGGGGGATACTTCAAACGCTTTTAGAAAAGTATGCCTTACAGTCCTTTAATATAATAGGAACCATTTTATTTTCTTTCTCATCGGGGCTTTACTTCTAACCGCCATAGCAGGCTTCATGTTCTGAATAAATCTGACTATTATGTTTCCCTTGAACCTGTACTGACAAAATTTGACAAAATAATTGAAGGGATGGTTCCTATTGAAGTTATTGTTTGTTATTATATTTGATCGGTAATATATTCTTTATAATAAATTAAAGATAACACTATGTAATAGTTGTATGGAACTTATATCATGATAAGGTCATTTTGTTTTGTCATACCACAAAGTGACCACCTGTTGCCGTTTCTTTCCCCTATTAAATAAAAATCATGGGGTATCCTTTTAAACCCCTGAACTTGTGTTCGCGATGATGTTTACAGTAGCGAGTTTTCGCTCACCAACATAAGGAATCTTCGCGGAAGCAGAGCACTCAGGTTTACGGCCGCGCACACAGACCGCTCTGGTTACAATAGGCGGTTTCGCTCTTCGGTGAATGCGGACGTATAATTACAGAGTAGCTGACGTCATCACGCTTGGGATAGAGCGTCTCTTAATAAAATCTTGTACCGTTGCTCTCATGGCCATTCACTATTTGTATAATACCAGAAATGTTGAAAGAAGTCTTTCATTATTCTCAAATTACCTGTTCTTTTAATAGGACCCCCCACATTAATGATGATTCAGCATATGATGTGCAGGTCTGTGTACTGCTTACAGTACATTGAATAAACTCTAATCACCTCTTTGTAACCTTTATTTAATTGTTCCATGTCACTGGCCATGTTTGTGACAAATATTTTTCTTTGATGTCCAGTCAGTATTATTCAATAGGATTTGACAAGCAAGCATCACTGTTACCATTTTAATGTTGGCTTATAAGGAAGTAAAATTTCACATCGGGCAAGTGAAAATATAAAATGTATAAATATGACAAATTGATTCTCAAACGAGAAGAAAGATTTTTTCAAAAGACTAAAGCAAGATAATTTATTTGAATTATTAACCAAAATGGACAAAATGTTCAATACAAAATAATTCTTTTAATGTTTTTTTTACTTTATTTCTATTCTGGTTATAGTTAATTATTCTTTTGTGAAAGGATAAACTATTAAGTGGTGATTTGAATCGCTCAAAGAGCTAACAATAAAAAAAAAAGACAGTGTGGAGCACTCAAGCTGTGAATTGGTCATTGCTGTGTCAGTCAGATACAGGAATACAAGCAACAACTGCAAATTGATCATCTTATCTGCCAGTGTTCATGGAAAATATGCACTGGATGTTGATTTGTTGAGTACAACAAAACCTTCTTATATCAGGGTGGGAGAAAGAAAAGAAAAATAGGTATGAGATCAGCAATCACTTTGTAACCAGAACCTTATCTGATCTTGTTCAAATGAGGTTTTGCTGAAGTCAGTTGGATGAACAACTCAAAAAATAATTTGTCTAATACCAGTAGAATACATTCAATAGCATCTTATGACACAGATGGACATGTTCTTGAGGTAATAGGGAAAAGTAGTTTTTTCTTTGTATTTTATGTATCATATGTGTGTGAATTTATCACTTTGTGCCAGTTTTTGTATATAAACCAGTCTAAATTCAAGCTATATTTCTTGTATTGCCAGATGGTACCACCAAAGTTATGAAAGTCTGTATGTCATTTAATTAGATTTTTACATCTATGAAAATAAACCAACTATAAGTGTTGATATTATAAAATAAATTTATTTAAACTGATATTAATGGCTACAAAAACACATTTTCTTTTACCAAAAAAAGAACAGGGGGAGTGAAAAAAGGAGAGGGAAAGGGAAAGAAAAGAAAAAGAGAAAAGGAAAAGAAAAGAAAGAAAGAAAAAGAAAGGAAAGAAAGAAGAAAAAAAGGAGAGAAAAGAGAAGAAAGAAACAGTACTGAAAGATGAAAGAATGTGGTGTGTTGTGGAGTGTGTAACTGTATTTATGTACAGTTCTGTAAGTGTATTTTTTCTATCCAGTTCTGGTATAGATATTCGGTACTTTAATTTGAAAATTCATATTGTTTGCACATATCATTTGCAAATCCAAAGGGTTGGGCAGAGACTAGTCATCCATTCTCTCTCCCCCAACACATACACATAATTAGACACACACACTGTACCACATTACTCATACTCTTGAAATTATTAAGCATAAATGCCACGATCAAGGTACAAACGTGAACATTTTTGAAAGAAAAATAAGCCCCCTTTGGTGGGACGACCCCACCCCCTCCTCGCCTTCAATTTGTCCAGCTTCATTAGTTTGGACTGCTGCAACTAACATTGTATTTAGATCATTTTCTTTATCGACAACCTGCGTTCAAACAAGTTAAGATTTTTTGAAAACATACAAACACCTGTGATAAGAAAACAAATTAAAATCAAGTACTTTTAAATTTTTATTTCTCAATAAAATGAACACACATATATATATAAATATATTTAAGTATATATACATAATATATACATAATAAATAAAATACCACAACTACATAAAATGCCACTTTCTTTCCACTATTAGCCTGATATGATTTACCTGTGTCACTTAATGTGCTCAATAATCAAACTCTGCATTAAAAAGATCACATTATAAAGAAAGGGTAAACAACAATGAGTAGACACAAACTACTAATTGTATTAATAGTAATCTATTCCACCCTGTATCACCTATTTCAATAGAACTTGTGTAAAAGATTTGTTATCAAAATATGCACCATTAGCTTTATTAACCTGTGTTACGATTGGTACTGAATACATCAATGAGTAGAAAATATGAAGTAATAATAAAACTACAGTGCAATCCACGAATCCACTCTAGCCTATATCACCTATTTCATTTAAATGAAATTACCCATAAAGTTAGATACATTTACTGTATGTTTGGTATTGATACGGAAGTCGACACACATTTGACTTCCATGTAGATTCTATATTAAGTAAGGAATATTTCTAAATAATAAACTCAAACTCAAACTCAAACTCAAACTCAAACTCAAACATGAAATAAGCTGAAAACCTGAACTTTCAACTGATAAGTTACATCTTACATGTACCAGTTACATTATGAAAACACATGTACAATACACCAAAGATCTATTGAAGAATTTGAAGTACCTGTGAAAATAATATTAATTAGTATTGATCCTGAGATGATTTCTGTAAGATCTGGTTTACTTGGATCTCAACTTGTCTAATAATGATATATAATCCGCTAGCTCTCTAGTGATGCATAATTTCCAAAATGAGATTTTCTTCGCGTAGCTACTTAAACAAAACTATGTTAACAAGTTACTCTGAAGGCTACACATGTAAACGTATCAAGTTCAACGACATACTTGCCACAACACCTTCATCAAATTAACACAAGTTGGCATTGTGAAAACATAACATATGCACTACACAAGTAAACATGGTCAAAGTCACCTACTAAAGACCAAGGAGAAATATCTTGATTTCATTTCTTCTACTGCAGCATGTCCTGGGACAACAATAGCATCAACACATTAATAGGGGAGATGGTCCTAGCCAACCCCTTCCAATTCAGATATAAGACGAGCGATCGGGCCAGAGCATGGCAACAGGTGGCAGAGGGGATGATAAGGAAGGGATACAAGGTCGACTGCAGGGCGGTGAGGGACAGGATCCACATTTTAAAGGATCAGGTTAAGGCCAAGAACAATGCAGAGAAGGCAGCAAGTGGCATTGCAGTAGAGGAGACAGAGGAGGAGCTGGGCATTCGAGAGGCCATTGAAAGGATGTGATAGCACCAAGTACATTGAAACTAAGGAGGAAAAAGGAAGTCGCACACATAAAAAAAGGCAAGATGTTGTTGAATTGCATATATATACAAGTTAACACAATGTATCTTTGGCATATACATATCATAATGGCAGATGGGTAACTCTTAGGAAGACCATATAACTTAATACACACAGACTTAGCAAAACTGCCAAAGTCAATAGTTGAAGTCCTGCAGGCGTTAAAATAGGACTATACAGTGCGTCCCAGAAAAAACGAAACCGAGAGGTATCGATGTTCTATCATAACTTAATCACAACTATAATTAATGAATGATACATATTTGGAAAGCTTAGAGTCTCCTCTTTCATGTGATGCTACTCACGTGATGCATATTTCACGCATGAGTGATTAAAAGCAATTTGAAGGAAGGAAACCAAAAAGACATTTGGCGGGCGGTATCTGAATTTCAAAGAAAAATTCACATTTCTAGAAAGTTGAGTTTTTGCCCTTTCATATGACACCTCAATCAGGAAAAATGAGCGAGGAATGACAAAGTTCTGTTTGTTTAAAGTAGTGCTTGCATTTCCATAATTTTATTAAACGAATTCGTTTTTACTGGCTGCCTGCAGTAGCAACAAGCAAAATTGACAAAAAGACTTAACTCCGTTTCGTTGACAATCAGCCATAGATGAGAGTCTTCATGCATGGCTGATTGTCAACGAAACGGAGTTAAGTCTTTTGTCAAATCTGCTTTTTGCTACGACAGGCACCCAGTGAAAACGAATTCGTTTGTTAAAATTATGAAAATGTAAGGGCTACTTTAAACAAGCAGAACTTTGGTATTCCTGGCTCATTTTTCTTGATTGAGGTATCATATGAAAGGGCAGAAACTCAACTTTCTAGAAATATGAATTTTTCTTTGAAATTCAGATACCGCCCGCCAAATCTCTTTTTGGTTTCCTTCCTTCAAATTGCTTTTAATCACTCATGCGTGAAATATGCATCACGTGGGTAGCATCAACTGAAAGAGGAGACTCTAAGCTTTCCAAATATGTATCATTCATTAATTATGGTTGTGATTAGGTTATGATAAAACATCGATACTTCTCGGTTTCGTTTTTTCTGGGACGCACTGTATAGCTGAAAAGACAGATTGGTAAAAAATTATGTCAAAGTAAAATGTTCACTGTTGGTCACTCAAAAATATTTCACTTGAAATGAATGATGAAAAAAAAAGATATTGTTCTTTACTTCTTTTCTAAAGATTTAATGAGGGCCATCATCATCGTTTCCATTTGTTGATTATGCTGTTGCTGTTGTTGTTGTTGCTGAAGAGCTTGTTGCTGTTGCTGCAGCATCTGTTGCTGCATCAGTTCAAACCGACGCTGTCTGATTGCTTCTTCAGCTCCCCGTCTTTCTTCTTCCTCTCGTCTCCTCTCCATCTCTTCAGCTCGCTGTCTCTCCTGTTCCTCTCTTCTCTTCTCCAAATCCTCCCTCTTCATCTCCTGCTCCAACTCCATCTTTCTGTCTAGAAAAGCAAGAGTATCTCGCCCTTTGTTGCGCTGCCTTTTTGGAGTGGTACTGGTGCCGGCTTCGTCTTGGTGTCTAAAATGCAATATTTAAAAAAGAAGAGAAAAAGTGTCAAGCGTGTAAGATATTCAAGAGCCTGCATGATGTGGTGCGGGTACTGCATTCACCTCGGTATCTAACATGAAATATAAAACATAAAAGAAAAAGGAGTTTTAAAGTCAATCTACATGTTGTACATGAAGAACATTAACGAATGTTGGTTTACATAATACTACAAATATATTAAAGGGATAATTGAGTTTGGTATAGAGGGCACTACACAAAATAATTTTTTTTGGTCAGATAATAACAAATTCGATGATAACGGCTTTTTACTTAGTCATTTGTAATTTTGTTTTCCTTTCATGCATGTTGAGTTATATTTGTTAGTTTGTAATGTAATGGTGTAGGTTTTATGCATTCAATCAGCAGATGTATGAGATTTATTGTATTATTACCAACGCTCCTTCTCTTCTCTTTCCTTTTCTTCTCTGCAAGTCACACTCTTTTTTATTTATATTTTTATTGTTGTATCTAAGTTGAGGGCTGAGGGCACGTCTAGCTACTTTGCTTATTTCTGTAGCCCTCCTGCATCTAATGTATGTTAATTATGCATTCAATATATTTGTTTAATTTCGTTTATTATCTGTATAAAATTATATACACTTAAAATATTGTATCAAACCATATTATGTTCATGAAAATGTATGAACTTCCCTACACAGACAGGCTAAAGATTTTAGACCTACACTCCTTGTACTATAGGAGACGGAGAGGCGATGCCATTACAGTTTTCAAAATACTAAAGGGCTTAGTAAAGCTGGACCCAAGTCACTTCTTCACCTTATCACTGAATACTCAAACCCGAGGACACTCTCTAAAGATTTTCAAGGAAAGGTCTCGTCTAAACATAAGGAAATGCTTTTTCAGCAACAGAGTGGTGTCCGACTGGAATAGTCTCCCTCAAGAAATAATTGACTCAAACTCCATTGATATCTTCAAGATGAGACTGGATAAGCACTGGTGGTCTGAGCGATTTGAATTAAGTTAATGATATGATCAAAACCGTCCTAAACCTGCGCATGTGCAATGAGTTAACCTCTAGAACATAACCAACCCTGAAGAAGTGACCGAGGATTACAGGATCTACCTCTCCTCGTATCATGATGATGATGATGATGATGATGATGAAAAAAAGAAAAAAGATGCAGAAACCAATAAATCAAATCAAATCAAATCAAATCAAATGTGTGTTGAGAGGGGAGCAGAGGGGGTGTTAGGGAGTACACCTAGAATTTGTTAAATTTGAAAAATCTTCTGAAAAATACCTCTTCCTCGTTTCTCCCATTGTCTCGCAGGCCCTCTTCCTCAGCTCTTCTCCTTCCGCCTTCTTCTTCTGTTCGTCCCCTCTCTCCTTTGGAGCCAACTCTATATCCTCTTCCTCTTGCATCATCCTTTCAACGGCCTCTCGAATGCCCAGCTCCTCCTCTGTCTCCTCTACTGCAATGCCACTTGCTGCCCTCTCTACATTGTTCTTGGCCTTAACCTTGTCCTTTAACACGTGGATCCTATCCCTCACCGCCCTGCAGTCGACCTTGTATCCCTTTTTGACCATCCCCTCTGCCACCTGTTGCCATGCTCTGGCCCGATCGCTCGTTTTATAACGAAATTGGAAGGGGTTGGCTAGGGTCACCTCCCCTATTAGTGCGTTAACACTATTGTTGTCCCAGGACATGCTGCAGTACAAGAAATGAAAAACAAAACAATGATTTAGATAAAATGGAATTCTGAAATCATCATAAATGGTACTAGACCTATACATGTGTATCTATCTTGTAATAATGAAAAACATCATATCATGAATGCATTATATTTTGGACGTTATCATTTTTTTGACAAAAAAGGTGGAAAATGATTGTACAAAGGATATTGAGTCGAAAACACATACCCATTCATGCATGTACATTTGAAATTCAATGATAATGATATTGTTCTTACATGTAGGCCTAGGGATCTCCGGTTTGCGATGCCGCAAACCGGAGACTCTACTCTAGCTATAATTTAAGATGATGCATGTAATGGAAAACATACCGATTCACAGATTTTGAGGGCTTTGCCTTTGCTGCTTTCACTGGCACGGTAGGCACCACCTCGCCAACCTCCTGTAACAAAAAGATGAGAAAGTAATTTGTAACATTCTGACATTAAAATTTCCACAATTATCTAGAATCTAGGTCTAGAATCTAGACCCTAGACTAGTTCAAAGTCATAATTTTGAATGCGCTGGTAAGATTAAGAATAGGGTGTCTGATCGCGCACCCGATGTTGTGTGCTAAAATCTTTCCCATAGAGATCTGCGTGAACCACTTTTCTGTCCATTCTGACCAAAATGCTATGAATATTGCAGTTTTTGAGGGGCTGTAGATCTATCTTTTGATAGAAACATCCTTTCAAGAATGAGAGTGAGACTGAGTGAGAGAGAGAGAGAGTGAGCTGTCTGACTCTGACTCCGAGTTGAGTTATTGTGAGGTAAAACCAAACAAACCCTAGCCCTAACGTTAGGGTCTAACTTTTAGTCTTATTAGGCTAGCCCTGGCCCTAGGCAGTAGGCTAGCCTAGCCCTAGGCCTAGGGTAGCCTGGAAAACACTTGCAAACAACACATTTTCAGGGATGTTTAATTCAGGACACAATTTCAAGGAGAGTAGGCCCGCAATTTTGCACGATCAGAGGCTATTAATATTATAGCCATCAAGACTAGGCGAACACTCACTCAGACAGAGACGATAAACTGGCAATTAATGCACAACAACTTAGCAATGCAATGCAATGCCCTGCGCAATACAGTACAGACGGGACTACCGCACGAAGTAGTAGCACAACTTGTCTCGACCAAGCCACAAAACGGCTTTTATCATCTTTCAACAATTCATTATCCAATTTTAAAACGATTCATGTTATATCCATAGTATAGTTAAGAAACAATAATCGATAAAAGAAACTCACCGAAGATCCACTTGCTTTGAAATTCATGTTTTAATCTCAAAATGTTAGTCTCAGCTCAGTGTTGTTATTGTCTGCGATAGAAATTTTAGACGAATAAAGTTCCCGGGCCAGCTATACGAGCTCTCTGATTGGCTGCTGATTCACTTGGGTTGTCAATTGAGAACGAACATAGATTTGGCCAAAACCCGTTCTAGATTTTAGGGCCTCAGCGGTCATCCAACTGTTACTATAGTAACTTCTCGATTTTGCACACGAACCGCAGATTCTAATTCCCCAATGAGTTTGCGAAAATTGCCTATTGAACATGTTGGAGGTTTTAACTGAATTAAAACCCTTAAAGGTAATACAAAGTTTTGGTATGGGGCCATGAATTTGGTTCAAATGAATATATTGGACGCATATGCGGTCCTACAATATTCAGTGATCGTTGTCGCGGTTGAAATCGAGTCTAAAGTTATGGAATTGTAAATAATAAACTCTTTATGTTGTATAGCTCCCTCTCAAGGTCGAGATATAAATTAAGCTCTAAAACAATGTTTCTTTACTAAAATCTACCCATTCGGAAATTATATATCACAACTGCATATTCTGAGATTTTCATGGTCGCAGCCAGCTACCATTGTACGGCCGTAGGCGCTATATGAAATTCATCAAAATTTACCGGGAGCACCGGTAAATTTTTATTTTCAATTTTTCTCGAAAGCAGAAGTAGTTTAGGGGCTAAATTTTCTAGTTCTTATTATACATCCACAGGGGCATCCAAATATATCAAAATTGTAAAGAATCACTATCCAACCAATTTTCAAAATTTCCCAAAACTTTGTATTACCTTTAACATTCTACCTATATTTCGTACTTTGCACCTTACGCGGTGTTCATGTAATTGCAAAAATCAAATGTATTTTAATCACCCTGAATGACTTTTAATATGTGACACCATGCAGAATTCGTTTGGACAAACCCTCTGAGAAGCAAGAGAAATATAAACGGGAAAATGCTTCTCTAATTTTGTTTTTATGTTTGCCAAATCATAAGTAAAGGCAATGACAATGAACATAATAGAAATGCACAGATTTTTTTTGGGGGGAAGCTAGATATATGAAAAAAGTTTACCAGACACACTGGTCATACTGAGACAACGTGAAAAATATTAAATGATGGATTAGTTGGAGAAAAAAAAGATGATGAAAAGAAGGATTATGAAATGAGCAAGAAAATGAAACGCAATGTCTAAACAAGAAATTATGTAAAATAATCTGTCAAAAAAGAAACAATCAAAGAAACCACCAAATAAACACACAAACAACATGAAATATAAAAGAAAATGTCAGATAAATAATGAAACTTGTGATGAAAATAATGTATAGCGACTGGGTAGAATAAAAGCAAATATAGCTAAACAGAAATTATTGTCATAGTAAAAGTAAGATATAAACTTATGTATCTTATAAATAATACTGACGGAGGCTGAAAGGAGATACTTTTATTAGAAAGAATGAGAGGGTCACTCAGAGGTCATATCGATGCGATCTATTTGGGAAACAAAAATGGAAAATAAAGTCATTGCATACGTAGCAGACCATGGCCGATATCGTGATAAAATATTGACAGTTAGTCATAATCACGTAATATATCATTAATCATTATCATGATTTGAATACTATTTGCAAGATTTGCTTCCATTGGAACATAATAGACGTTAAACAAAAATTGTAATACAAATTTAACTAGAATAACTTATGAATAAGATTAATAGTTTCTTCGAACATTCCATGCATTATACACTTAAGATGAATGCAATTTAAACAAAAAAGAACAAAGATAAATAAGCTGAGAAAAGACTCTCTAAAAATTATACTTGCTCTCCCACAATGTCAAATGGAAACCATCTCTAAAACAAGATTAATACAAATTGGATGAAAACAGAAAAATGTGATATTCAGGTTGGAAAATTGTTACAAAGTCGGACAAACTTGTTGTAATAATAATAATGATAATGATAATAATACAATAATAGAGCGCAGAAACTATCCAAAATTAAGTATATATTCTACTGCGCTACAAGAGCTCCTGATATGCTTATTTTTACCGTTAACTGAAAAGGTGTGCTATCAGTTTTTGTTAATAGAAAAGTTTATGATTGTTTTAGAAGTAATGTTATTTAATGATTGGCAAGTATTGGTTATTCGTCAGCGACGTATTTTGATTTGATTATTTTCTTCTACATTATATATAAATATAAACAATTTTCGGTAACATAACAAACAAGAACTTCTAAAAAGTACTCTCTTACAATGAATCATGAATAAGCAAATATACATAATTCTTATTTAAAAAAAGAAAAGATTAAATGTAACACCACCATATTTCATCAAACTTTTACCAATTATTTGCAGAAGAAGGACTCACATTGCTGACACTTGTACAATTTGCAGTTGTCTCCTAAACACCTTATCTATATCGGGGCCATTTTGAAGGTCATTCAGTTTGATTTTATATTCAATTCAATTGTTCGTATTTAATACATTACCGCTTCGCCAATTTCCACAAGGATGACAGCGACTAGACAATATGGTAACAACAAATCGGAGCACAATGCCAGCAAGATATGAAAAGGAGTTTATCTGTCTCTATACGCTTTTCGAACAGTGTGTTCTGTAATTCATCGTTAGGAGAGTGAGATATGTGTGAACATGAAACTTCAAATTCATGTTCATTAATTGCATTTGTTATAATATAACATGCCTGGCAAGTGACTGGAAATTCGATGAACAAAGACGTTTTCTAACAAATGTGGATGAAAGTTACTAGAAAGTTTTTATTAAAATTAGTGTTTTTTTGAAGAAGTAAATATAAGGTTAATAAACAAAGATGGTAAAATCTTTTGGGGTCAGAAGAACACATTTTTATACGTGCACCCCCAGAGGCAGAACATAACCCCTTTAATATCTTTTCCATTTTGAGCACCTGCGTTTTCGAGAAAGCACATGTCTAGTAAAATGTAATGGGTCTTTCCGCTACTGATAAATGTATCGTGTAGATTCGCTCGTTTACAAATACATCAAGGATGAAATTGTTTTCCGAATCTACAAGGTTGTTTTTTTTCCTTAATGGGGATGGGAGGGTGCCGATTCTCAAAATTTCAATTTACATTCCCCCTCCCCAACAAAAAGGTAAAAGAATACCTTTTTTCAAATATCACTTTATTGATCAAACCATGCGCAACAAAGGAGACATAATAGCCCAAGATAAAACCAAATTACATATGCCTATAGATGCAGGGGATAGAAATGACAAAAGAAGTTCCATGGATATTCAAAATTGCAGATAGTGCTTTTAAAAAGACTACCCCTCCCTCCCCAAAAGAAACTAATCGTCTGATTTTTTTTGTTTACAAGGAATCAAACACGGAATCCTGCAGATACCTAGACGCTATCCGTGGCTTTAGTAACCCGGAGCTTGGAGCTTCCTCGCTGGTCTGTGGTAAAAGCATTAGAAGGCACCATATTACTAAAACAATTTCATATAAATCCCCTAACCAGGTAGGTATTCATCTGGGATTGGAAAATAAAGGAAAGAGAGCCCCACATTCATGAGAAATGGTATATGTTTTGTATTCAATAAAAATGAGTTACATAAGAACTGGATGACAGGCAAGAAGAAATGAAATCCAGTGACAGTAACTTGACTACAAGATGCTAAAAGTGCTCGAATTTGTGAAAATGGTTAATACAATTTAGATTTTTTTTTCTGAGAAGATTTCCGAATTTTCCATGGCAACGCGACTTTGGAGTTCAGAAATGATACAGTTGTAAGAACTTGCCTTATTATCATGTAACATAAATCTTCATTCTTCTTCTTCATCCTTAATGCAAGGATGATGAACATCTAATCAAGTAGAGATGGATTTATCATTAAAATTAGAATAATGTTTATTTTCAATTAATAAGAAGAAAAATTGTTTCCACATACTTCCTGAAGTGAAGAAAGGGGAATATCTTGGATTTTTTTTTTGCTTCTTGCACCCACGATAGGAAACTGGGAAGCGCCGAAACCCTAAAACATCTCAATTCACAAAACACATACTGGTTGTGAGGAGCGAGAGGGTTAAGGTATTTTGATGTTCCTCTCTTTCTCTCTTTCTCATGATATAGGAGGTACATTACGCATAACTATATCTGGAAGGGAATCAATGGTATAGCGACCCGCTTAGGCTCGCACTTGTTGAAATTACGCTAGCCTTATTCGCCATAGCGGCTCCTTTCATGTCCCCATTGCGGCAACCTCGGCAAAGACTCGCCGCTCTATTACGCCTAAATGAGCCTGTTACGAGCCATGCCGCTGCTTTTGAAGTATATATGCAACCCATGCCGAATGTATAAACCTTCTAACAAGAAGAATGCAATCAAAAAGAGAAGATAACAGGCAAAATAATGAAACCCCCTCCACGACCACTTATCCTACGCCGAACAATATCTTTCTCTTTTTATCATACATGCATTAATGGATCTCAATTCAATGACTATGAGTTGTTATGTCTTCCTCTCTTTGATTTTCACACTTTGTCTTCTAACAACTGTTGTGTTGGATTATACATACTTATAAGCCCACGTTTTCTTTGGAAATATTTGATATCATTTTTTTCCTCTCATATTGTCCTTTAGATTTTGTCAAAGGATGCCGACATGCAGGAACAATAGTGGACGCACGTTCAAAGGGCCCGATGCCGCTAACAGGAGTGCGTCAGCTTCGAATTAGAACTCCTTTCCATTGACTATATCCTTTTGTCGGGATGGGAGGGAGGGAGGTATAGGAGGCGGTATGGCTTGCTTGCTGTGAAAATTAATGATCTTATTGAGAGGAGAGAAATCAAATAAAAAAAGAGAGCTCTGTAATGTCCCTCCCTCTCTCCTCCTGCTTTAATCTAAAGTTTATTTTTATTCAGCTTTGAAGTTTTACCCGACTTTGATTTGCAAAGGATGGATGGATGGTGAGAGATAGAGCGATATATATATAGAGAGAGAGAGAGAATGAGAGAGGGGAGAGAGAGAGAGAGAGAGAGGGAGATATAGGAATGGGTGAGAGGGGACTCAAAGGTCAGTTTAAAATTGAATATTGCCTGTTTGCCTGTAATATTAGCTAAGGAATGGATGATATACAAATTAATTTTCACAAGCATGACGATTACAAATGGTACCTCCTTGACGATTGCTTGCTACTGGTAAATTCTCCTCTTAAACATATTCAAATACTTCCATATCCATCAATATCTGAAACGTGTACTTGGGAAAAGGAA